ACTGACGTATAATACTCAGACCGTTTATCACATTTCATAGTTACATGATGCTCAGATCGTTATTCACATTTCATGGATACATGATACTTAGACATATACAATCGTAAATAACAATTAACTGACGTATGATACCCAGACTGTTTTTCACATTTCATGGAGACATGATGGTATGATACTCAGACCGTTATTCACATTTCATGGATACATGATGGTATGATACTCAGACCGTTATTCACATTTCATGGATACATGATACTCAGGCCGTTTTTCACATTTCATGGATATATGATACTTAGACATATACGACCGTAGATAACAATCAACTGACGTATGATACTCAGACAGTTGTTCACATTTCATGGATACATGATACTCAGGCCGTTGTTCACATTTCATGGTTACATGATGCTCAGACCGTTATTCACATTTCATGGATACATGATACTTAGACATATACAATCGTAAATCACAATTAACTGACGTATGATACCTAGACTGTTTTTCACATTTCATGGAGACATGATGGTATGATACTCAGACCGTTATTCACATTTCATGGATACATGATGGTATGATACTCAGACCGTTATTCACATTTCATGGATACATGATACTTACACATATACAACCGTAAATAACAACTAACTGACGTATGATACTCAGACTGTTTTTCACATTTCATAGAGACATGATGGTATGATACTCATACCATCATGTCTCTATGAAATGCGGATATCCAGAAATAATTCTAAGTGATAATGGCGGTCAATTTTAGTTAGTTTTTCAAACCCTAATGGAACAAGAAATACAAATGACCGAGTTCCTAGTTAAACATGGAATAAAATGAAGAAATATAATTCCGAAGGCGCTTGGAGCGGAGGAGTTTACGAACGGATGGATAATTGGCCTAAAGAAAGGAACATTAAGAAAGGTTATAGGTAAAAATTGCTAAGAAACGAGGAGTTTATAACTCTAATAGCGGAAATTAAAAGCACCTTAACCACTAACCTACGTAAACTATGACGATTCCATAATCCTAGTACCTATTGACTTTATTATACCAGACATATATCTAATAATACCTACTAATAATACTGATGATCAAGATGATTATACTCCTTATAAGTTAAATACTCAACAGAAACTTATCAAATATTGGGCAAGAACAATGGAAACTCAGGATACTTTCTGGAAAATATGGAAGGAGGAATACTTAAACAGTTTGAGAGAACGTACACAAGTAGAACATAAATCTCCGAAAGGCGTTGAGATCAGCGCCCCTATTAAAGAAGAAATTGTAATAGTAAACGAATCAAACGCTCCTCGTGGTACTGGAAATTAGCAAAAATAAGGAAACTCAATAAGGGACAGGATAATAAATAAGAAGTGCTCTAATAGAGTTACCACGAGTATGATTAATGAATCGACTTATTAATATGTTATATCCATTGGAAATTCAACAGAAAGAAGATGTGAAGGACAAATCAACAATATCGAAAATACAGTAAATGGAACTGATAAACGAGAGGAACCCATAGCTAAACGAACTAAAAGTGCTACAAAACAAAAACAAACTTCAACAAAAAAATCCTCCTATCCGAAATCTCCAAATTGAATACCCCGTCGGAGTGTCGCGGATTTTAACTTCGCAAAGCACTAGAATAGCTATTGGCATGGTTTTTGGTATTCATAATATATATATTATTATAGGGAACTTAGATTTTGACAATTTTGACAATATATATTTCTCAAAAAATTCTTTAAAAAAATCTCGGCTAAAACACTTTTTCAGTCTAAAAACTTGAGTTGAAAAATAGGAAAGAAATGAGAGACAGAAAAAAGAAAGATGTGCCGTTTCTTTTCTTTTTTTCCTTTCTTTTCGCTTTTTTTTTATTCGAGATAATTAAATATTTGTAAAATTATAAATTACATATAAAATGACAATTTAAATATGAAATGATCTTTCAGATGATAATCAATTGGACATGGCTGTTGTAAGACATTCATAGTTTACTAGTTGATTAAAATATAATTCATCAGTTAAGCATGGATTAGATAAGCATTTATTTATATCTGTAAAATATAACAAACGAATATAATTTTGAAAGTAAACAATTTTTTTTTTATCTTTAGTTTTTCTATTTTTTTAATTAATTTTTTTCAAAAGAAACAATTTTTATTATTTTTTAGAATCAATTTATTAAAAATTGAATACGTTCTTTTAGATACAAGAAAATTTTTAATTATGCTGTCGTAGATAGATATACCAGAAAATTGGGTAAATTGACTGCCAGAAAAATGGATAATTAAATCAACAAATCAACATTATAAAAACGCATAATGAAAGGTATAATATAATTATAAAATAATATCAAAATCACCCCAAAATGTAGAATGAATGACCGTAATGGAGAATGGTTGATTTACATATAGAACTGAACTACCACCAACCAGATTATCCGGAGAGAACATTTGATTGATGTGAAACAAAGATTGCTGACAAAGGGTTTTTGTTGTGTGAGGAAAAGGAATTAGGATAATGGCTTAAATGATCTAGACATAGATTGCGGAACTATTTGATGAATGACTTATCAGACATCTGGCAAAAGCATTAGAATTTGAATATAATTTAAATGTTTTTTTTTTTAACTTTACGACACTCCCGGCGAGAAGATTGTAATTTGGTAGTGAAGTTTGTAATAAATTGGAGTTTGCTTATTTAGTATCTAACTCCCAACCATCCGTAGGAGTAGTGTACTTGATTGGTTGTTGTCCGTTTGTTATGAGAAATTTGGGTTAATTTACTTCCATTCATCTGCTTTCGATTGTATAAAATTTCACAAGGATCTGTTGACGGTGCGGAAGTAGTTGTTTGGTCCGAAAATACTGATAATGAAAGCCAAGATTACTAGAAATTCTTTAATATATGATATTATTACATTTGATCGCAGAAACTGTAGTTGGGCTTCGAGTGTAAACACTAACATGAAACAGAGTGGAGTTCTGTGTTGTGGTTTCTTCACTGTTCCATTTTTCCGGAATATTGAATGGTATTACCGATTCTCACTGGCATTCTCTTTTTACTTCCACTTGTATCATTAAAATATAAAGCATAGACACTGACAAAAATGAGACAATTAAGTTACTCACACTTACTCCCTTTGATTGAGGTTGTTTTGTGTCCAAATAGCTTTAGTTCGCATTGTCCCTGTGTTCTGTGTTCTGTTCGGTTTCCAGAACTTTCATAGCTTCCTTATTATTATGTTTTTTTTCATCATTAATTTCGATAGGATACTTGAACATTCCTAACTTCACCGTCTTTATTAATTTCGATATCCTTGATCCTTAATAATTTCCACATTTCTTTTGGAATGCCCGATTCATTTAGGAGCCCACTCTCTCTTTTCTTGAGTTCTTTTTTGTGCTCCTCTGGACAAGGTAATTTCCCTCTGTGTGCTTTCCCTAAGGCTTGTTAAGTATTCAGTCCTCCAGATTTCCCAAAAAACGTCGAGAGTTTTAAAAGTGCTTCCCCAGTATTTGATGAGTTTTTCTCTGGTATCTAATCTGTAAGGAATCATCCCCCTTTTTACTATCAGCTATCCTGAATTATCATTTGGAAAATCATGATGGCGAATTAGCCTTAGAAATAAAGAGAAAGCTTTATGTGGACAATGTATTGTATCATCAAATGGAACACAGGACGCATTAGAAAGATATGCGAAATAAAATCCATCTGCAATGAAGTTTCAATAAACCTAAAGCAATTTTTATCTAACGATGAAGAATTCTATGCAAACCTGCCTCAACAAGATCGAATAATAAGAAATGTATGAAAAATGTACAATGATAATATCAAAAAACACTTAAAATTCAAAATTTGAAAAAAAATTGCAGATTACCATATTAAATAGAAATTGATCGGATGCATACAAAGTATATTGAGTTAAACCAAATAATTACTAAAAACTTTAGATAATCAATGATTGTAGTTTTCATATGTTAGAGTATTTCTTGTAATAAAATTAATGATTACAAATAAGCAAAAAACTATTACCGTACTCTTCAAATAGCAAGAGTTATAGTATTGTTTCATTTACTTGCAAGAGTGAATGTTAGATTGAAAGGTCACTTCGGTATTTCAATATTACAAGTAAATTTGGATTATAAAACAAAGAAGTTCATTAGACGAATAGCTTATAACTTTTTAGTTAATACAGTTAGAAAATAATATTAAATAAACGAATTTCATATTTGAGAGATGGAATTCACAAATTTTTTTTTTATAAAATAAGACAATCTTCAATTTTTACGATTGGGAAATAGATTTTATGTTTGAGAGATGGAATCTAATGAATAAATTTTTACATCAAGTAAAACAATAACCTGAAGCAAATTTGTTATTGAAAAAATTTAATTAAATAAAGTTAAAACTATTATTTGTTCCTGAATTTTCATTTGTGGTTTATAATTGTTTACTGGTTGGTCAGTTACCGCAGTTTCTCTGCTGAAATTTTTTATAAGTAATTTACATGCCAAAATTTTATTGATATTAAATGCATTATTTTAAATACTAAAACTCATGTTTTCAATAGTAAATGTATTATTTGAAAATTCAGTTTAAATTAATATTTTCAGTATTAAATAGTTTATTTTAAAACTAAATTAAAATTGATACTTTCAATAAGAAATGTTTTATTTCAAAATTGATGCTAAAATTTCATTTTTTATTATTAAATACTTTATTTTGAATGTTGATATTACAGATGTAATTATTCTTAAATACTTCAAGTAAACACGAGTGTTACAGTACTTTAATACTTCAGTACTTAAATATTCTAATATTCAATGTAAGCATCGTAATTCAACCTTTTTTTCAAATTAAAAACATTAACGAATTAAAGCAAATGGAAAACGCTATTTTATTCATGTTTATGATACAAATTTCTCTAATTAATTAATTATACGAAATTTTCTGAAAAAAATTATTTTACAGAAACGATATGTCAGTGTTGGATACAAAGGTTTTTTTTATTCTTCGAAACTTTCATAATGTTTGTGAAAAAATTAATTTCAAACACAATTTTTTAGTATCTTCATTACTAAGAAACTATTACAAAGTTAGAAACTCAGTAATTGGGATATTATAAATAAATAAATAAACATATATATAAGAGATTCCGATAGTTTGGATATTTAATACCAATTATACAAAATTGATAACTTCTATTTGAAGGGAATTTTATTCAAGTTTAAAAAAGATTTTTTTCCTAAATAATAATTTTTTCTTTAATTTATCCTAATCACTGATAATTATTTATTTTAATCATTTTTTAATGTAGGTAAAATGTGTGCATATGTGGCCAACACCAGTAGATATGGCATTATTAAAGGGCAAGCCACGTTCCGAATGGGTACAACCGGAGCCTATGTCAGTTCAAGAAATAGATTTCTATCTGGGACGTGTTCCGGAATGGTATATCGAATTGAAACTTCTAAAAAAACCCGGTATTCACTTTTAAATAATTTCTCAGTTAAATTGCTTCCATTTATTTTATTTGTTTATTCAACTATTTATTTTTAAAATAGATAGATTTAATTTTTTTTAATTATCAAATTGCGCAAATTTTTTTAATTAGTAAAAATGAGTTTAACTCATTGATTACTCAAATTATTATGCAAATGTAATTAGTGGAATTAAAATTAGATTTAAAAATACCTTTAGGGGATTATCTCTTAGCTCGTGGTCATGATAACAAATTACGTTTATCAGTAAAATCAAATGAGCCAGGCAATCCGGCAATACATTTTCCCATTGAATTTCGTCAAACGAAACAGGTTTCTTTAGTTAAACAAATTAGAAATATGAAGCGAAATTTGGATTTTAGTTAAAATTTTAAATTTGCATTGCATTACACAAAATTGATGAGATATTTAGTGAAAGAATTTAGTGAAAGAAATATAGCTTGATTTTGTTTTGGTAAATACCAACTTCCTATTATTTCATTTTCAGAGAAATTTTTTTAATATTTCATTTTTTAAAGTAAATTTTTTTTTGTTTTTTTTTTACAGATACGAGGCGATAGAAATTATTATTATCGAATTGAGAAAACTGTTTTACAGAATCGATCAGTTTGGCGATTAATTCATTCGTATCAAAAGAGTAATGTGAGCTATATTTTATAATTGACCTATATAGACTCATTATTTTAACACCTCATTTCAACATTTCCTTTTTGTTCTACAAAGTGTAGAATTTTTAAAATTAAAATTTCTGAAGTCTTCAAATTTAAATTTTGAAAAATATAAATCATATCAAAGGCTAGATTACGATTATAATCAATTTAGATTATACTTGGTTATAACCAAATAAAATATTTAATTTTATTGGAATTTTTAATATAATTCAATAAATTAAGAATTTATTTTTGTATTTCATATTTCATAGCCTGTAATTATGTCATTAATTACTTAAGTTTTAAATAGATTAATTTAATCATGCTTATTCATTAGGTAAACAGTTTAAAGATAAACACAAAACGCGATGTACGTTTAATAGAACCAATACTACCATGTCAGGGATGTCGTTACCTGACAACTGAATATTCATTTTTAAATATGCAAATTAAAAATAAATCAGAAATCAACATTGGTGATTTAATTTGCAAAGGTGAACGATCAACAGTAAGCTTGTTTTAATACTTTTAAACATTTATTACTTTATTCATTAAAGTCAACACTTATTACATGTATGTATGTATGTAATTATTAATTGAATTCAAATTGTTTCAATTTTAGATTTATAAAGCAACTCGTTACTTCACCAAAAACGATATGATTAAAACAGTGACGGAACAACCAATAATTTTAAAAGAAATGGATGACTGTACTGCAGCAATACTTGATGATTTATTCCGGGTAACATTTTTAATTTATTCAATCTAAATTTCTTAAAATCCAAATTTCTTTCTTATGAAATGATTCATTGATAGTGTAAATTAATGAATAGGAATTACATTAAATAAATATTATTTGAAATTACATGGCAAGACTAATTTTAATTGCAAAATGAATATTCATTGTATTTAATATATATTATAATCAAATAAGAAATTAATTTTTTTTTTCATTTTTGAATGTGAAAATGAAATCCTTGCACAAATTTTCAAAACAATTATAATTATATTATATAAAATCTAAATTGTATCAATAACAATTATTTATGGAAAAATGAAATGAAATATACGACACATTAAGTTGTCCCTCGCACTATTAATGCTTAAAATTATCTTGTTTCCTACATTATTAATAAAATTCAGCAAATTATAAAAATTAATTTTACAAATTTTTTTAAACACTAAAATATCCTACTTCCTGCAATATTAATGAAACTCAACAAATTTTAAAAATTATTTTAACAAATTCCAATTTTTATATTTAGGAATTACATATTGTATGTACAATTCGACATCAAATTGGACCTAAAACAGCAATATGCATTGAAGCACTTATGGTTTTTGGCCGACCCTATTATATTGCTTATGGATTATGTAAAAAAGGCTCATTAGTGCAATATCTTGAAATGAATACCATCGATATGAATAATAGAATAAAAGTATTCTTTCTTAGTTTTCATTTGTCTGAAATAATTATTATAAAAACAATTCTTAAAAATTGAAAAGAAATTTTTCTTTTTGGAATTTTTCATAGTATATATTATTATTAAAATATTTATGCAATTAACCAATTAGGGTTTCAGTTAAAGAAATTTAAAAAATTTTGTTTGAAGTTCTTAAAAATCTATTTCAATATTTTTTCCGTATTTTTTTGTAATTTTTCTTTTTTTTTGCATAAAACAGATCTTACGACATATAGCACAGACATTAGATCATTGTCAAAAGATGCCTGTCATTCATGGAAATTTGAGAGCTAAAAATATATTTGTTGATATAAATGATGATAAAACAGCTGAACCGATTTATTACGTTGGTGGCTTTCATCATGCAGTTATGGCCAAGTAAATTCTTTCATTTACTTTTCCTTCCGTGTTCTTCCTGGCCAAGTAAAATTCTTTTATCTGTTTTTTTCCGTTCTTCTTGGCCGAATAAATCCTTTCATTTGTTTTTTTCTTGCTTTTTCTGAAAAGTAGAATTCTTTCATTTTATTTTTTCTTTGTTTTTTTTTTTATTACAAAAATGAAACAAACTTGTAAAAATCTTTTTGGCAAGAAATAATAAGAAAAAAATTAAGAAATTGCTACCTGAAATGTACAATATAACTGCATCAACAAAAATGATTGCTTTTATAAAAATAGTTTACTGTTATATTTTAAATAATGTTTTTTTAAACATGTAATATATATTGAGCTTATTTTTAATTAAAAAATTGACTTAATCTAATAAAAACAAATTGAAACAATTTAGAACAAAAGAAGTAGATCCAAATAAATTACCAAATAAACGTTGGCTTGCACCAGAAGTTTTGACAACAAAATTATTAACGCTAGAATCTGATGTATTTGCATTTGCATTTTTAATGTATGAAGTTCTAACAATGAAAATACCACACGAAACAATTGAGGATAAAAAAATTCTTGAATATATTGCTAAAAATCCTTATGTTCGTCCAAGTTAGTTTATTTTTTTTATTTTAAATTTAAAAATTTTATTGCAATACTTTTATCTATCTTATTTCGCGAAAAAAAAATAAATAAATGAAAAGGAAAAGAAATGAGAAAAAAGAAAAGAAACTGAATTATTGCAGAAATTATTAATAGAAAAAAAAACCAAAATCTCAGAAACACAAACAAATCCTAAAATAAAAATACTTATAAAAGATAAAAAACAAAGTCAAACTAAAAGAATCAAAAAACAATCAATTAAGAATAAAATAAAAAATATATAGAAAAATAAAACAAATATAGAAAAAAAGTACAAACTGAAGATTATCTTCTAATTATGAAAGGGGAAATTTTAAAAATTGAACTAAAACTAAAAAAAGACAGCAAATTAAATATGCAAAATAAAAGCAAATAACCATGATATATGATTACTACTATTATTTACTTTATTATTACTATCATTTGTTATTGTTATCATTATTTATTATTATCATTACTATTTAATATTGTTATCATTTATTATTGTTATTATTATTTAATTTTTCTTCTAAACATTTGTTTTTTTTAGTTGTACCATCAACAGTTCCACAATGGTTGAGAAAATTGATAAACGAATGTTGGACAACAAACCCAGAAAAAGACCTAAAATGTCGTATGTATGGCAAGAATTGAAGGACAACAATTAATATGAAAATGACTGTCGAAACGAAAAAATATTCATTAATAATTTATAATGATAATAAAGAACTGACTTTAGGTGGAAGAAATTATTAGGAATTATATAATATTTCATTCTCATAAACATTCTCTTAATTAATTCCATACTTTCCGAATAACTGCTATTAAAATATAAAAAAAAAAAAAACGTATTATCTATGATCGATTGCATTTCTTTCTGACAATCCTGCTCCATTAAAATGATAAATGAATAAAGAGAATGGGAAAGAGATATAATTTGTTTCTTCCCTTTTTTAATTTCAAACGATTCAATCACATGTAAATTTCGAAATTTCCGTTTCGAATTGCAAGTAAAGGAATATTCATTTCACTTTCGTCTTGAATTATGAGTGAAATCATTTAACATATGCTAAGAAAACAGGAAGGAGCATAATCAGTTTCGAATTTCGGATAAAGAAATACAATCCATTCCATTTCCGTCTTGAATTCCAAGGACATAATTCATTTCATTTCTGTTTTGAAGAGACATAATCCGTACCTCTTCCATCGAACAAGTAAAATCATTCGATCCACTTGCAAGGAACGCGGAATGAGACAAGACATGAGAATGTAATGTCAAATGAAACATTCCAAATGTGTCATTTACGTGTGGAACATGAATTGCGTAAAGTGGCATTTGCATTCGAAATCGATGATTTTTTTTTATGACTAACGTGTAAATTTGTAAATGTGAATTAATTTTTTCTGATAAATGGATTAGTGATTATTCAGTAGTGTGGCACTGATTTTGTTTTTGTTTTATTTTTTTTCTTTTTTTGGATATAATCTTTTTAAACATATTTTACACGGATGCATTATTTTGCAAGTTATTGTGTAAAGTTATTTATACACTTTGTGCATATATAAACAGATGCTTTTTACGAATATTTTTTTAGTCAATAATGGATGTATTGCGTCACATCTACATAATACGTAATATCACATACGGTAAGCATATTGTGTACTATGCGTGAAAAATATTTTTATACCTTATTTGCTTCATTCATCTTGTTTTTTTCAGATAAATTCGGAAAAAGATGCCGTGAATAGTTTATGTTCCACACAAGAAATTGATAATGCGCTAAATGCAACGCAGCATTTGCTCTTATTAAAAGTTTTCAATATTTAAATTTATTTGTATGATTTTTATGAAAATGATAATAATTGAGTATCACAATGACTACATTTCTTTTTTAGGAAAAAATTTGTAATTTGAATAAAATATTGTATTGGAGAATTAGTTAGCAGTTTAAACAATTAGAAGATTATTTCACTTCATAAGATTAATAAAGCTGTTTGTTTTTTTTTAAACGTCTTGATTATGTTCAAAATCTTTTCATTAAGTTATTGAAGGAAAAAAGAATTCACTTATTGGGAATTTCAAAGATAATAAAACTAAAAAAACTAAAACTTGTCAAGTTTCATTTGCCACAGTTTAATAGGTTTTATTTACAACTGCGCAAGCATTGTTCAAAGATTTCTAGGCAAAATGCGTACATGCAGAAAATAGTAGCGATTTTATGAGGTATACAAATTTATTTTTAATTTATTCTAGAATCAATGTGGGATAGTTGGCTTAATTGATTCTGGTGTTTTTGGTTCTTTTTTTTTAAAGTTTGCATTTATTCAATACGGTTTCAGATATGCAGTGATGATATAGCGGCTTTTTAAAAAGTATCAATGAAACCCGGAAAAACGACGTCCTACAGCAACTTTTAAATGAGCAACGAACCTATCTTTTATTGCTAAAACTTGCTAAGATGGATCGAATGTTTAGTGATTTAAAGTTCGGACAAAAATTTTTTTGTAACATATATACTATAAATTTTAAATCTTGCTAAGATTCATTTAGGCATGCATGAATAGAATATTTGAAATGACCAATTTTCTGTGTTGTTAGTCTTTTTGTTAAATTCGGTTTATTTAATTTTTTGTGCAAATTATTCTATAATCTATTTGGATGCTTTTTTCATGCTTTTAAAGTCCCTTTTAGAATATAAAGAGACAATCTATTCTTTTGATTTATTAATAACTGATGTGAAATTCAGGAGCCTGCTCGTAATTTTTTGAAAGGTTATTCTTCGAAGATAAAAGGGGCAATTATCTAAGTTATTTGTAATTTTTACGACATTAATTATTAACAGCAAATTTTCTTGAAGTACTTTTGGAATGGTGTAAAGAAAATGCTTATAATGAACTGAGACAAATACCGAATTGTTGAACGAATATGCATATCTCAAAATGAACTGTCGAAAAGAACACTCCGGTAAGTTTTTGTTCATTTATTGTAATTTTTTTATGCAATGAATTGTTAGCTTCTACTGTAAGTGGTATGGTAGATTGTTTATCCAGTATTAATTTAGACATTTACATAAGTAAAAATCAAAAACTCAAAGTAATACCTTGCTAGATTATTATTTGGATGAAACAAAGTGCATTAAGATCAGCAAGATTTTACAACATTTGGATATAGCTTTTAATTCTTCATTTTAATCTAATTTCACTCTAATGTATTGTATGATTTTAATTATAGATATTCTAAATACAAAAAATGATTATATACTCATACACATACATCCATTTAGTATCCCTTATCGTTTTAATTAAAAATCGCCAATTACAGAGCGGAAACACTACATGCTCGAATTCATGGTGAAAACTTTTGTGACTTGGTAATTATTTTATTTATTTTTGTACTTTAGAAGCGTTATTTGTTTTGTGATGCACAGTGTAATTAGGCGTTTGTTCTTATTTCGCTTTTGAACTATGGTTTACTTTTCAGAATTATTTCCTGAGATAGTAGTCATTGTTGCTTTATGGAAGTGGCAATGAATAACAGAAGTGTTATCCGTTATCTTGATTTTATAAGATTTATTTATTTTTAAGTAAAAGTGAATTCAAAAAGCAATTGTCAATTAATTATTATAATCAAAATAAACAATAAAGATAAAGAATTAGAAAACAGAATATTCAGTGTGATTTATACACTGGTGCGATGTGGTCGAAGTGATGAAGTAATGAAGTGTTTAAATTTCTGGTTCAAATTTTTTCCACAAATTGATTTATGATTCAGTGTTCTTTCCTCATTGCTTTTAATATTGTAGGTATTATTATTATTAGAAAAAACTGATCTTTATTTTTTAGTTTCTCTGATACAACTGAGGAAAATGTCATGCAATGCTGCCTTAACACAATTATAGACGGGACTTCTCATTATCTGGTTCGATCTTCTGCTTAAGCGCTTACTGCTTAAGTGAACTATTGACAAAATCGTTTCTGAGATGTTTTTCAACATTTTTTAAAATATTAAATTAAAAAAAATTAATTTGTTTAGGAGCAGCTTTTTGAAAATGAAACTTTTTTCTTTGTAACTACTGCGAACCTTTTCTGTTTTTCCCTGAATCTTTATAGCATGATTTTCGATATTTTTCGTATTTATTTAATATTTTATTGTTTTTCATCATTTACTGCTGGTAATTTAGGGAACGTCAGTGTCACAGGTAGGAACCTGTCTGTGGTCAGTGGTAGTTGGATGTCTCGAACCAGCTGTCTCTTTGTCATTTCGTACCGAAGATCGTTTTTGGTGTTATCTTAATGCAACTGTTAAATCAAGTTTAGATGCCGCAATCACCAATGTTCATAATGGAGATTAATATTGTTTAAATTTAAGGTGGCCATCCTTTTTATTATTGGAACCAATAAGCTTTAATAAGCTTTAATTTAAAATTCAATTTCGAAGTGACATAATCGAAAATTAAATTTAAATTATTTGTACAAATTTCTACTTTAACTTCGAAATGTTAAACTCTTCTCATTTTTAGACTGAACGATTTACATATTACACTATCAACTCATAGTGAATGATGATTCTTTATCATTGATTGCATCTATGGATATGTGACTGGAACAGTATGAGGATGATTTAGAAAAATTTCTACACAGTTTTATGACTCATCTTGTTTTACTTCTTCGATTCACTGGTCAATCATATATATATATATATATATACATATATATATATGTATATATATGAGAGTGGTTAGGATCTTTTGGGATATGTCTTTTAATAAAATATCCTTTACTGTGATAAGAGATGTTTCACAACTTTTTAAACTTATTCAGGAAACTTGAATACACTAAAAACTGGTCAGAAATATGCATGACCTATAAAAGGCTTTGCCACAAAATCTGTAAAAAAAAAAAAAAAAAAAAAAAAAAAAAAACAGGGAAAAGTGAATAATTGAGCATTTCGTTAAATCAGAACTGTTTGACTGATCCTATAAATCTTTTGATTTTCTTTTGAAGCGTTGAAATCTTTTGAGGAGGTATTTTTGCAATACTCATTCTATCTTTTGCTTTATCTTTTTTCTCTTTTTGTCAATTCTTTTCAAAAATAATCTTTTGCAAACTTGATCAAATTTTATAAATTCTGAATACATTTCATTATTAATTAGATGTATTTGAATTAATTTTAGCTATGATAACTGCAAGATAAGTGCATATACTAAGAAACACTAAAAATTATTTATATCTCGAACTTAAGAAGAAAACGCTAATTCAGTCATGCGTAGCTACGTTCATTTATTGATTTTATTGAAGTTGAATGCGATTGTGTCACATTATGCTAACAAATCACCGTTAGAAATGGCTGAAGTGATGGTTGTTAAATTCATGTGTCGTAAGCTATTATTAGCATTCTTTATTCACATTTATCATAACTATTATTAACTAACATATAAGTGTTATTAACTAACATTCTAACAGTGCTGTTTATTTCAATTCGATATAAAGTTATATAAAAAATTATGTATATTCATATACCAATAAATTAACTTATTGTATATTATTAATATTTCGGTCATTATCATTGTTCATTAAGAATAGGTTTTTTTTTTTCTTTTCAGAATTAGAAAATGTACGAAAAGATGTCATTGGTACTACTAACACTGCAAAAATCGATGGTGTTCTTTATGCAAAAAAGTTATTTTCTCGAAGACGATTCATAAATAATGCTTCATTTGTCTCTAATCGTAGAAAGATTTATTTATATCCCCCCTCCCAAAAAGAAAAAAAAAAAAAAAAAAAACTATGAAATAAAACCATATAGAGGGATAAATGTAACAAAACTTACAAAAATTCGCGATTATTTCATGCCCAACATAGCATCATAATATATTCTTCGATATACACGTTGCTTGAGCACCGCTATCAAATAAAATTGCAATTTTATTTGATACCTCTGGCATATCTAAATTAATTGCTTCAACTTCTTTGCTAAAAAGCAAAACTTCTCTGTCATTCCCTTTCGAATACCTTATCATTGAATTGATTACCTGCCGTCTTTCGATCTTCTTCGATTGGTTCTACTGATTGTGCTTGATCATTGTACTTAGAACAGCATAATGTAGTATTATGGTGACCTTTGCAATAAAAACATACACGTTTTCTTGCCTTGCAATTGATTGTCGTATATCCTGGTTGAAGACAGTTTAGACAGACAGTTAGTTGTTTTCGTTCAGTCGTTGCATTCTTCGTTCTAGATTAGGATAGGTTTGACATTCATTATCCCAGTGGTTCCTATTGCAAAATGCACATGGTCTTTGAGTTTTGCTAATCTTCGTATTAGCCTTTTTATGTGTTTGCGGTGTTATTAGTGTTAGAGCTGAAGTTTCTTTTGTTAAATATCGCTGATTAGTTCGTGGACCAATTTTGCTTTTAGTTTCCCTTTGCTCTTTCATGATGCCAAAGGATTGGCTTCTTATAACTTCTTCGTTTCTTTGGATCAGTTTTGCTAAGAATTTCTTAGGTTAGCTACTGACCATATTTCTTGTTCCTTTTGTTGATATACTTTTCCAAAATCCAGGTAGGGAGTTTATTTTCAATGATGATTTCAATACTGGATTGTTCGAGATTTTCACCCATTGCTTCAAGTTGTCGAAGTATTCTTTCAGTAGCTTTAACTGTTACCTTCCATTCTCGATCATTCTTCTGGAATATAACTCATTGTGGAGCGATTTTTTAATAATATGTGATTACTCAAATTTTTCAATAAGGACTTTTCGTATCACATCCTAATTTTCTGGGGTTGTATCATAACCTCTAACATCCAATAAGGCATTTTTTTTTAATTTTTTTAATTTTTTTTAATTTTAAATTTTTTAATTTAATTTTTTTTTTTAATTTAATTTTTGGATATCTGGTATTTTTTATAAATGGACTGCAGCTTCAAAGCTGCTCCAAAATCCTCTCCACATCTTAGGATTACCGCTGAAGATAAACAGTGGTAGTTGAGGTAAGTTAACAGTTGGGTAAAGAGTTATTTGAGTTGGTTGCTCCTTTATTTCGCCTTCTTTAAGACGCTGGATTACTAACTCTGAGTCATTCATACATATACTTAAGGTTATGATGACTTCTTTGCCCTCACTTATTAAGTTTAAAATACCTCTTTTATCTTCTACCATTTATCTTCTACCAAATACCTCTTTTATCTTCTACCTTCCTCTTCCTTTCTTTTTGTTGCTGGAAACTGTTGTATGCATTGGACCCAGTTACCATTAATTGTCTCAAGTGTGCCAATATGCAGTTTGAGACGCATTATTATTCTTTCTTCAATAATTCTTTTTCGAGCCTCGTGCTGCTGACGGGTTTCTTCTCTGATCAATATTTGCTCCGAAGGTCAGACCCATTTCTTGGATTTCTTTGAGAAGAGCTTCCAATTTTTCTTTTGCCAGTCGTGCGCTTAGTATTACAGTTGTAGACATTTCCCGGTTCGTGGCAGCAAAAATTTGTCGTGGAAGGTTTTGATTGTTTAATTTAATAATATTGGGAGAGATTTATAATAAGACATTTTTGTACAAAGGATGATAGTAAGTAACTTGAACAATAGGTTTAAAAATGGATATCACAATGAATTGAATGATATTACGAAAAAATGTACAATGGGTTGTCTAGACATTATGATGAGTGCCTACTATGAGTTGCAATAGACATTACATGATAGATAGTCATAGTATATGAATTAATATAAGTCAAAAGTCAGTTAACCATTACGATGAATTGCAAAGGACATCAATGGATTGCTATATTAAGCATTTTTAACATTTATTTAGTGCTTCGCGATGTTAAAATTTGCGACAGTAATAATTTGATGTAAAAATTTTGCGACAGTAATAATCTGATGTAAAAATTTTGCTGCTTATTGCGATTTTCCAAGTGCTAGAAGGGTACAATCAAATTTTTAATGAAAGCAACTTATGCAGTATTAATGCTGTTGTTTTTCTGATAACTCTGATTCTTTTTGACATCATTTTTTGCACAACTTTGCTGATAGGAATGTTTATTCATAGCGCGGTTTTTGTGCTTTTATTCCTTATTCATGGGCATCAATATCGATTGAGCTCTTTTAACTTTTATCTAAAATATTTATGACGACGGAAGAGTTGCATTATTTGAGAGCAAAGCGACATCCAAAATATTTTTTTCGAGGAAGCCAGATTATTTATAGTCAGTTCTGTAGATACAACGAAGTGTTATCACTGCCGTATTTTCTCATTTTTCTTAATGTAGTCTGCTCAGAGAATTTCATTTTAGTATCCAAAAAAGTTTGAATAATTAGTTGGAAAAGTTTGGAAGATTCATTTTAAAATAATAAATTGCTGGACTTGAAAAGTAGTTGAGTAAGTCAAAGGTTATTGTTAATAAAAAAATGAAAACAGTGCTACCATTTTTAAAATAAAAAGGATAAGAAGGAAAGGCGCTTAATCTTCATTCAACAAGAAACTAGATGAAAAAATACGTTACGAAGTTAAGTTAAATTATTAAAAAGCACTTTATTCAATAACGCTGGTTGACAAGCATAAATAGAGCTAATATATGTTCGATTATATAGTGTGTTCGTGTCTCTGCAAATTTTTTTTCCAAATAAAGTGTATAATTTTGAAAGAGAAATTACAAATATCATTTGTTGTTACTATTATAAAAAAGGATTTCATAGCAAAGGAACATGTGTTTGGCTTTTCGACTTGGTTTTCTTTCATTTGCCTCATCGTTTGTCAAAAAACGTACACTTGGTTCCAGTTTGGTCCATTTTTTGTATCTCATTGGTTCCATTAAAGGAGCTTCGATTTGTCCAATGCTTTTCGATACAACCGATGTCCACAAAAATACTGTAAATGAATGAAGTCATATTTTCTAAAAAATAATTTGCTGTGAATATCATAATTACCACTAAGTGTGGATCTCATTAAGAGGATCAAATAATTTCAGAAGTCAGATGAAAAAACTTGGAAACATGTCCTTCATTTTTTTCAATGTTTTTGAAAAACTTTCTGCATTAGAACTTAGCAAAAATAGTGCACCAAAAACTACGTAAACTTGATCGAGAAAAAAGTCTTACCAAATATGAGAAACAGCGAAGATGCCACTTTCATGGCTAAAAGCATACAAAACCTGAAATTCTCATACATCACCGGTCTATTTGTTCTATTATGTAAAAAGCAATGAGTTTAATCGCTAGAAATATTTTGTACAGATGAGATTAGTTGCAAAAAACAACATTAACAAATAAGAATAAGATGTATAGTGCTTCATCCCATCTGAACTATTGCACATTTTGATCTGAACTGCTTCTGAGCTGAACTGCAGCATATTTTCATTGTCATCAAATATATTTTTAACAAATTATTATAAAATAGATCAATGATATGATACAGACTTTAATCCTCATCCAAGCAATATTCAATTTATTATCGTTTTAGTAATAGAACAGATAGAAAAAGTAGTGGAAACTTACTTTGAAAGCGTAATTTCCTCAAAAAGAAGTGAAAAAAAGTTCCGTTTTACTTGTACAATCGACACATAAGTTCCAACGTTACTTGATCTGTGAAATAAATATCAACAAACAATTTTAGTTACAACTGAAGTAATTTAGAATTTTCACAAACATTTCCACATCTAACAACAAAGACCTTCGATTCATTCACAATGAGAGATCCGTACTTCAACTATTTCGAATTTTGAAAACGCAAACAAAAACTGAAAGAATCTCTGTTTAGGGTTTCTATCATAAAACTTTCATTGCACTAAAAAAGTAAAACATAAAGAATAATGATGACTTAAACTAAGATCAAATCGATGCTCATGACGTAGGAATCAGCTTTTTGAATTGATAAAGATTATTACAACAAGACTACTGGTTTTACATCAAAGGACGTAGCAAAAAGCACTACTTTCAAATCAAATAGTGTTGATAAACTTTAAAATACAAACTGTTGCTGTTTGCTCCATCAATTACTAAACCTCAACTGGTAACTCTACAAAGAAAAAAGGAAAAATCCTAAAATAGAATTTTGAATTTTGTTACATTTATCTAGAATTACAGAATTACAATAAAAATGTTTCAGGCAAATCAGGAATAACAAGAAAGCATCTTTCCTGATCATGAATGTCGATACTAACATTGGAAATTAATATATATTATATATATTTAAGCTTCATTTTCCCGAAAAAAGATAACTTTCCATGATTTGCTAACGAATTTAAATAAAAAAATGGATGATTCGAAAGCCGGTGGACAGTATGATATACGACTAAAGCAATTGTTCCATTATTCATTCTTCTATTAAATATATTAGAAAACTTGATTGACTGACAACGACTGAAAGAAAACAACGCCTGTCTAAACTGTCTTCAACCAGGACATACAATCAATTGCAACACAAGAAAACATGTATGTTTTTATTGCAAAGGTCACCATAATACTGCATTATGCTGCACTAAGTTCGGAAGACGGCAAAGGAAATCAATTCAGTAATAAAACATTTGAAAGGAAATGACAGAGAAGTTATGCTTTTTAGCAAAGAAGTTGAAGCAATTAATTTAGATATGCCAGAGGTATCAAATAAAATTGCAATTTTATTTGATAGCGGTGCTCAAGCAACGCGTATATCGAAGAAACTAGCAAAAAGATTACATTTAGAAGATATTGATTATGAACAAGTGACATTCGCGGGGTTTGGCAATAGGAATCCTCAAACATCGCTTTCTGCTAAAGTGCGAATCGGAATAAAAACGATAAAAGCAGATATTATACCTATTATAGCTACAGTAGTCGACTATTTAACAAACAAAATAAGGGTAATATCTGTAAATCAAGACAATGCATCACATATTTCGACTCTGTTTCCATTAACAGAGGAAATTAGCAGTTAGAAACAGCCTGACCTAATTATCGGAGTTGATTATTTCTTTAGAGAAAGCCCAAACTATAAATTCTGGATTTTCTTTAATCAATACAATAGTCGGCCCTATGATTGCTGGAAGTAGATGCATAAACATGCACAATAATTGTCGTTTACATGTCTTGCAACTAGAGCAGTGTATTTAGAATTAGCAGACAGTTTATCTGCAGAAAATTTTTTAAAAGATTTGTTGCACGACGCGGATATCCAGAAATAATTCTAAGTGATAATGGCGGTCAATTTTAGTTAGTTTTTCAAACCCTAATGGAACAAGAAATACAAATGACCGAGTTCCTAGTTAAACATGGAATAAAATGAAGAAATATAATTCCGAAGGCGCTTGGAGCGGAGGAGTTTACGAACGGATGGATAATTGGCCTAAAGAAAGGAACATTAAGAAAGGTTATAGGTAAAAAATTGCTAAGAAACGAGGAGTTTATAACTCTAATAGCGGAAATTAAAAGCACCCTTAACCACTAACCTACGTAAACTATGACGATTCCATAATCCTAGTACCTATTGACTTTATTATACCAGACATATATCTAATAATACCTACTAATAATACTGATGATCAAGATGATTATACTCCTTATAAGTTAAATACTCAACAGAAACTTATCAAATATTGGGCAAGAACAATGGAAACTCAGGATACTTTCTGGAAAATATGGAAGGAGGAATACTTAAACAGTTTGAGAGAACGTACACAAGTAGAACATAAATCTCCGAAAGGCGTTGAGATCAGCGCCCCTATTAAAGAAGAAATTGTAATAGTAAACGAATCAAACGCTCCTCGTGGTACTGGAAATTAGCAAAAATAAGGAAACTCAATAAGGGACAGGATAATAAATAAGAAGTGCTCTAATAGAGTTACCACGAGTATGATTAATGAATCGACTTATTAATATGTTATATCCATTGGAAATTCAACAGAAAGAAGATGTGAAGGACAAATCAACAATATCGAAAATACAGTAAATGGAAATTAGCAGTTAGAAAAAAATTAGCAGTTAAGAAATTAACAGTTAGCAGTTAGAAATTAGCAGTTAGAAACAGCCTGACCTAATTATCGGAGTTGATTATTTCTTTAGAGAAAGCCCAAACTATAAATTCTGGATTTTCTTTAATTAATACAATAGTCGGTCCTATGATTGCTGGAAGTGGATACATAAACATGCACAATAATTGTCAGCGTGATAATCACCTCAACAAGATAGTAACACAGAGCACATGCTGTTCCGTTAAGAATCATACCAACATTACACCTATTAATATTGACATCCCAGATTGATTGATTCTGGAAGTTGGAATTTATAGGAATACAAGAACAACCTAATCTACAGAATAATAAACAAGTTTTAGAAAAGTTCAAAGAAAATATCACAAAAAACAATGGTAGATACCAAGTTGCTTAAGATCTTTAAGTAAACGACTTCAGAAGATGAACGTTTATTTCTCAAATATGACGAAACGATTCGTGATCAGTTACAATAGAAGGTATGCCCAGAGATGGACCAGGTTGGTATTATTCATTACCTACCTCATCATGAAGTTATAACTCCAAACAAGGCTACGACCAAAATTAGAATCGTGTATGATGCATCCTCATACCAAAAAGGAGAAAAAAGTCTGAATGATGTATTATATCAAGGATCCATAACTCTTCCCGATTTAATAGGAGTACTGCTTCGTTTCCGAATGATGGAAATCGTAATAACAGCAGACATTGAGAAAGCCTTTTTGCAGTTGGAGTTACTACCAACAGAAAGAAATTGTACACGATTCCTTTGGTTAAAGGATATAAGGAGACAAGTAACAGAAGATAATGTTGAACATTATCGATTTAAACGAGTCCAATTTGGAGTAATATCTTCACCATTTTTATTATCGGCTACACTTAACTATCATTTGGAGAATTATGACAATGAACTTGCTAACGAGATTAGGAAAAATTATAGTATTAATCAGGTGTATCGATGAAGTTCTACACAAATATCAAGAAATGAAAAATATCTTTAATGATGCCTCAATGAATGTTAGAGAATTCTTATCAAACAACAAAGAATTCAATTCTAAGATTCCCGAACAAGATCGAGCAGGGACAAATAAGTTAAAAGATTCTTGGTATCAATTGGAATCCAGATGAAGATATAATTCAAATAACTCTAAAACCTTGGAAGAATCAAGTACCAACAAAAAGAACAGTATTACAGTTCCTAGCTTCTCAATATGATCCCTTAGGATTCCTAACTCCATGTACAATGCCGATAAAATTATTTCTTCAAAATCTTTGGGAAGAGAAAGCTGGGACTGTCGCGAATTATAATTTCGCGAAAACATTTATCTAAAAAAAAATATAATTTTTAATAAAAATTAATCATTTTTAGTTTCATAGTATAATAAACTAAATCCTCATGATTTGTTACTCATGAGATTTTGAGTAAAATTTATTGTAGACACTTCCAATTCTTAATGCACATGATTTTATCTTAGACACGCCCAATCCTCACTCATATAAATTCAATTCTAATAAACAAAATGTTTATAGTTATCATTATTGTCGACTACTTTCTGTTAACCAATATCAATTCCTCCGATCTTCCTTATTATAAGTTTCTTCTCTCCTTTTACTGCTCTGTTTATTAATACTACGTTTGCGAAAAATAAAGGCTTATTAATCCTTCTACTGTATTGCAAACAATTCTAATATCAACTAACAAACCCTTCACGACAGGGACTAAGTTGGGATCATTTAATAAGTAAGGAGGATCAGAAGAACTGCGAATCTCTTATATGTGCATGGCCAATATACGTGAAAGATATACAACGTGTCGTAATAGACACATCACTACTACAGGAATTCATGTTTTTGCAGATGCTTCTTCAGCTGCATATGCAGCTGCGGTGTACTTCACTAAGGACAAGAAAGCTTCTTTAGTTTTCGCCAAGTCGAGAATTGCTTCCATCAAGGGTAAGACTGTTAAAAGATTAGAATTGTTAGACGTGCTAATAGGAGTACATGCTGTTCAATTTGTTATTAAACAAATGGAATTAGAGAATATTGATATCACCTTATGGTCAGATTCCAGTGCACATTACACTGGATAAAAAATTATTCTCGCCTACTACCAAAATTCGTCCAAAATCGAGTTGAAGACAAACAAAATTCTCATTTCCAAATGAATTTAATCCAGCTGATGTGGCCACCAGAGAACTTTCTCCACTTCGTCTTGCATATTTTGAATCATGGTGGAAAAGACCATATTGGTTAACAGAGGAATATATTTAGAGAAAGAATCAACATGACCAGTCTGGGAATATAATTTTAACGAAATTCACAGCGAAGACGAAAGTGAAGAAGAAGACCAAAAGATTGTAGCAAAAGATTGCAGCACTATTGATAAAACTTTCAAATTAATCGACGCAAATCGATTAAGCAAGTGGTCGAGTTTGGTAAGAACTACTGCATAGACTCTGAAATTTATTTATTTAATATTCAAAGGAAAAATTCCTTGGTTAAAAACGTTTTCAGCAAAAGGTCGACTCAATGATAACGATTATGAACTAGCTATAGATGGATTAATCAGACAAGCCCAATCAGAAGAAATAACGGAAGAAGAAATAATTAAATGGAATTTATACTATGAAGAAGGAGAAATCTAGAAGTCGTTTAGAAAACTCAGAATTAGACGAACAAGGTTTATATCCCATATATTTTCCTAGACATAATCGTATAACCGAAATCTTTATACAACGGCAACACGATGAACTGTTTCATGCTGGAATAGCTCATACTCTTTCAAGTTTGAGAAAAAGATTTTGGAAAAGGAAGAACAGGAGTTAAAAGAGTTTTAAATAAATGCATGGGATGCATGGATTTCTTTAGAGAAAGCCCAAACTATAAATTCAAGGTTTTCTTTAATCAATACAATAGTCGGCCCTATGATTGCTGGAAGTGGATACATAAACATGCACAATAATTGTCATTTACATGTCTTGCAACTAGAGCAGTGTATTTAGAATTAGCAGACAGTTTATCTGCAGGAAATTTTTTAAAAGATTTGTTGCACGACGCGGATATCCAGAAATAATTCTAACCACAATTGTCGTTACCAACATTTAGTGGAGACCCTAAAATATGGAGAGAATTCTGGAGTAGTTTCGAAGCCTCCGTACACTCTCAAAACATACCAGATATCCAAAAATTAAATTACTTGGTTTCTTGCTTAAGAGGAAACGCCCTACAGCTAGTAAGAGGTTACGATAGGGCACCTGAAAACTATAGAATTATAAGAGAATTATTAGTGGAGAAATTTGGTCGTGTTTCCACTATAAGAAAATTACTTTACAATGAACTCATATCTACAAAACGAAACGACCGAGACTGGAAAACAATAATCGAAGAAATGGAGAGAATTCTAAGGCAGTTAGAAGCAATTGGCGAAAACGTAGAGCAACCTACTATCGAAACGATAATAGAATCCAAATTACCAAACTGGATATTAAACCAGGTTTATCAACAAAAGGAAGAAGATGGCCAGTGGTCCGTAACAAAACTTCGACAGCTTCTCAGGAAGACAATTAATAGAAACGACCAGGTAATGGAATGGTAATACTTGGATAACGTCAGTCGTAAAAATTTAATTAAACGTCATCCTAACGCAAGCATTCCAGAAAATTCAGCATTGATTGCAATAAAACAATCAAAGCAAATCAGAGGAACGGCTTCAGCCGAAAAGAACCAGCTAAATCAAGAGAATCCAAATTGGTCGACAAATAAGAAACAATAAGAAAAGGAGACCCTGTATCTTCTGCAATAACAATCACTGGGATAGCAAGTGTCAAATATATTCTACAGTAGAGTAGCGAATTGATCGATTGAAGGAAATCAATGTTTGCTCTAATTGTTTTAAATCTGGACACAACAAACTCAACTGCACAAAAACAGCAAGTTGTTTTTATTGCAAAAAATCACACAATAGCGCCCTTTGTACCACTAAGACTCGTGATACTGGGAAGATTGTTGCCAAAAATGCAAACATATCTGTTAATTCAACTAAGAAAGTTGAAAAGAAACGAGTACTGCTTTTATGAAGAGAAATTAATGTCTTTAATCCTGATAAACCTGAACATCAAGTACAAGCTTTAGTACTGTTTGACGTCGGCGCAGATGCGACCTTTATCTCACAAAGGCTAGCTTATCGACTAAATTTCCTAGAAACTGATGAAGAAGAATATAAGATCTCCTCCTTTGGCAATAGGACTCCTCGAGTATGCCGCACAACTCAAACACAAATTGGAGTGAAAACGGAAAACTCCGATCAAGTGACTATCCAAGCCACTGTAATGGATTATTTAACAAACGATCTTCAAGTGATGGAAGTGGTAGACAAAGGTGAGCATTACCATCTTAAAAGTTACAAGAAACAACCTGACATAGTTATAGGAGATGACTATTTCTTCAACTTTATTCATATGGAAAACGCTCAGCGACTAAAATCAGGATTCACTTTACTGAACAGCAAAGTTGGACCTATCATAGCAGGAAGCGGTTATACAAATGAATTGTGCCATCACCAGATCTTTTCAACGAAAACATCTCAAGAAAACCGTGCCCCAGATATAGATCAATTTTGGAAGTTGGACTGTATTGGCATCCAAGATCGATCTGATACATAAGATAATGAACAGGCACTGGAACAATTTAAGAAGAGTATCACTAAACAAAATGGAAGATACGAAGTACGCTGGCCATGGAAACCATGCAAAGGCAAATTGAGCGATAATTATGGATTATGCGTCAGCCGTTTGCGAATGCTAATAGCACGACTTCAGTCCCATAAAGAGGAATTACAAGAATATGATAAAGCAATACAAAATCAACTACAATCTGGCATAATCGAAGAAGTACAATCACAAATGAATCAAGATGGAATTATTCATTACCTGCCACATCATGATGTTCGTAATCCAGGTAAAACTACCACTAAATTAAGGATTGTTTATGATGCTTCAGCGCACATAAAGGGAATGAAAAGTTGAAATGAAGTATTATATCGTGGATCAATTAACTTTCAGATCTTGGGAGTATTATTACGCTTTAGATTATTACGCTTTAGAATGATGAAAGGGGTAATCACAGCTGACATTGAAAAGGCATTCTTACAAATACAGTTACACCCTTCAGAGAGAAATTGTACTCGCTTCCTTTGGCTAAAGGAAGTAGAAGGAAGTGTATCCAACGAGAATATAAAATGTTACCGTTTTAGAAGAATCCCGTTTGGAGTAATATCATTCCTCTTTTTACTATTTGCTACCTTGAATTATCATTTGGAAAACCACGTTAGTGAATTAGCCGCAGAAATAAAGAAAAACCTTTAATGTGGACAACGTTATTGTGTCATCAAACGGAACGCAGGACGCATTAGAAAAATATGCGGAAATGAAATCCATCTTCAATGAAGCCTCAATGAATCTAAGAAAGTTCTTATCTAACGACGAAGAATTTTATGCAGAACTGCCGCAGCAAGATCGAGCAATAAGAAAAAATACGAAAATCCTCGGCATCTCATGGAATCCCTGTCAAGACGTCATTCAGATAAAATTAAATCCATGGAATGACCGAGAACTAACAAAAAGAACGATCTTACAGTTTGTTGCATCACAATATGATCCACTACGATTTTTAGTTCCAATAATGGTAAGATTTAAAATATTTTTGCAAAATTTATGGAAAAAGAATAATTCGTGGGATCAGATATTAGATGAGCAAGACCATAAGCAATGGAAATTTCTTATTGCTGAATGGGCAACGGTCGTAAAAGACTTACCGCGATTTGTAACAACTTCTACAGATTTAATTGGAATACATGTATTTACCGATTCTTCAAGCGTAGCATATTCAGCAGCAGTGTATTTAGTGAGTCAGGATATGCAAGAAACAAAGTCATCGCTCATTTTTGCAAAATCTCGCATTGCTCCTATTAAAGGTATGACAATACCGCGTCTAGAGCTAATGGCCATACTAATCGGAACGCGAGCAGCGCAATTTGTCATGACACAGCTGGATATCGTCAATACAAGGATAATTTTATGGTCGGATTCTAAATGTGCTTTATATTGGATAAAAAACCATTCCAACCTATTACCAAGATTTGTTCAAAACCGAGTCGAGGAAATACGTAAAACGAAATTTATCTTTCGTTATATTCCATCGGAAGATAACCCTGTAGACGTGGCAACTAGAGGTCTTAATCCAAAACAACTTAGAAGTTTTACACCATGGTGGCATGGACCGTCGTGGCTAGTAAAAGGAGAAATCAGTTGGCCACAATGGGAATACGAATTTGCCACAATGACGAACCAGAAGAAATCACTATATCAGAAGTCTCGCGAATATGCAAGGATCATAACTTTCAGTTTATTGATAGCAAACGTTTTAGCAAATGGCTAAGACTGTTACGAACAACAGCGTGGATCCTTAAATTCATTCGATTAACAACTAAAGGCAGATTATCATGGCTACAGTCTGTTTCAATCGAAAGAAATCGATTTACAGCTGAAGATTACAAAGTGTCAGAATGGCTGTTAATTAGACAAGCACAATCTGAAGGAATCAATGACGACGAAATAAACAAGTGGAATTTATTCCACACCGAAGATGATAAACTATGGAGATCTACTAGCCGACTCGTGAACTCGGAACTGCCTAAAACTAGCAAATATCCTATCTATCTCCCTCGACACAACCCAATAACAGAACTCCTTATACTACACCAACATGAAAATCTATGTCAGTCAGGTATCGCCCATACACTTTCAGAATTAAGGAGTAGATTTTGGATTCCCAAAGGCAGGACTGAAGTAAAGCGAATAATAAACAGATGTCGAATCTGTAAACGTTGGAACTCCAGATCGTTTAAATTACCACCAATTGCAAGTCTCCCGGAAACTCGTGTCAATCGTTCTAGAGCCTTCGCACGTATTGGCGTGGATTATTTTGGCCCTCTTTCAATCAAGGGCAATAGCGTGTCAACAAAAAGGTGGGTAATATTATTTACATGCTTTACAACAAGAGCCATGCATCTCGAATTAGCAGAAGACCAATCCGCAGAAACCTTTTTGCATGCTATCCGAAGATTTGTTGCGAGACGAGGGTGTCCTGAGCTAATTCTGAGTGACAATGCCACTCAATTCCAGGTTTTCAGATCTCTTATGACACAAGTCAAAGTCTCCAACTTCTTAGCAAAGGGAGGAATGACTTGGAAAAATATTATACCAATGGCTCCGTGGCAAGGAGGAATCTACGAGAGATTAATTGGGTTAACGAAAAATGCGCTAAGAAGAGCCATTGGCAGAAAATTCCTAGCGGAAAGGGAATTGGTAACATTAATTGCAGAAGTTGAAGGTATACTTAATACCCGACCACTAACTTACGCCAATTTTGATGATTGCGTCATTATACGTCCAATTGATTTTATTTTGCCTAACGCTTCGCTCCATCTACCTATAAATGAAGTTTATAGCAGGCAGGAAGAATTCATCCCTTATAGACTAGATACCAGAGAAAAACTCGTGAGACACTGGGAAAGTACCCTTAAAACTCTCAATGTTTTTTGGGAAATCTGGAGAACCGAATATTTAACTAGCCTCAGAGAACGCAC